TATGGTTTTACACTGCTTTTAGCAATATTCCAGCAATATCACGGCAGGGGACACCAGAAATGAGCTTCACACATTGTACCCATGTGGGGAATTGAACCCGGGTCTTCGGCATTGAAGAGCAAACTTTTATTTGAAGAAAAGACAGTAAATTTCCTTTAGGTGAGTATTACATGTCATGTTGTAAAGGCAGACAGGATATTAAATTTCACCATTTTATTAAAGTTGGTTGTGTTTTCAGCCACAAATTCTATACTTGACATGTCATGGTAACGTCATGTCAAAGCTCTTGGCAAGTATATTCAAAGTTTCTACTCTGTTGATTTGGCTATAGAAAACAAGGCAATTGGCCTATTAAATGATGTGGTGTGATGCTTAGATAATAAAGTTACTTCTCTGTGATCTCAAGCCATACTCATACTGATTTACTTCATCCTTGTGACTTCAAAAATACCGACTTTCACAAGCACGAAAATGACATCAAGAATCAAGCGCCAACATTGTTTTAAATATTATCCGAACATATATACAAGGAAGCTGACTAATGATTTCAAAACTATAAACCGTTGATATTTTCCCTTTGTTACTTGATACTTTCCGTTAAGTTTAAAATATCAGTTACCCTTTATGTTTTTTTCATTAGTCTTCTTATGACTCATATTTATGTCTATTCCGATTTTGCTTTTAAGGGAATGAGTTTAGTTTTACGCCACTTTTAGCAACATTCCAGCAACATCATGGTGAGGACACCAGAAATGGGCTTCACATATTGTACCAGCGTTCGATATGCCGATTTTGCTTTTAAACAATAAAAGAGAAAAACATCAGTTTATATAGATAGTTTTAAATAGATAAATAGAAATATTGTTCCATTGTTATGACAATAAATTTGGTAATGCTTACATGACGAAATCTGTAGCGCTCTGACTGTCTTACCTCCCATACTCAAACAAAAACATGAAGTAAACACAAAAATAACAAACCTGTCACTAAATCTAAATGCCTTCCCTGAGTTAATGAATATTAATCTTGGTCATCACTGCCAAACTTTAAGCCCAGCGCCCAGTTAGTGACCTGAAGCTTCAGTGTCAATTGATATAAAACATATTCCTGATGGGTGTAATGAGTATATCCCTATGATACAGACTGAGCTCCTGGTTGAGTGAGTGAGGTGGATATTATGTCGGTTTTAGCAATATTTCGACAAACCACAGGAGATACCAGGAACGAGTGTTCACACATTGTGCCCATGTGAGGAATAGAACCTGGGACTTCAGCGTGATAAGCTGATGCTCTAACCAGCAGCTTACCCCACCACCCCAGTTGGAAGAAACACCTAAGTGGTGCACACCTGAGATGTTCATCCTTTGTGAAACCGATGAGCACTGGTATGGTGCTGCCAAACCTTGAAACATGATCAGGGTGTACCAGGATTTGAACCCAGAATAACAGGATTTGCCAAAGGGACACAATCTCTGCACAGCAAATTGCAGTGCCTCAGGCCACCAATGTCCCATAAAATATTGGAAACAGCAGCAGATTAAAACATCAATTGATAAAGAAATAATTAATATCTCTATGTGTAAAATGAATTTATTACCCACGCCAACACTTAATGCAACTTATGAAATATAACAGATATTTCCTTATACAACAAAAGAGAGATAATTTCCGAATGTGAAACCTACATGGGGTTGTATTGTTTTGTCACAAGGCTACCCGCAATAGAAGCCACATTTGCATCAAAATCCCTTCCATAAATCATACTGAACCTTTTAGAAGACATCATGTCCACAACAGCCAATGAAACACAAGGGTATGCGGTCAAAGCCGGATCATTTAAAGCTAAGGTAACACTTGTCATCTAGACTCCCACACCCATATAAATAATAGATTCCAAGTGTCATTCTACAATTGCATTTAATCTCAGGAGGCCATACAAGTAACGATCAGAACTAATACCTGATTGATTCAACTTTCATAAAAACATTAGCAGATTAAAACTCATGTAAAATTCTTCCCTCGTTTCATGTGAGACCTCTATGTATAATTTACAGCTCTTGTAGGCGTGGGTGTGTGGGGGCGTCGACCGACAGTGATTCAACATGGACAGCAAGTGCAGTGAGAATGTACATCCTGTGCACCTATATGTCAAAGTTAACGTTTCACACCCTTCTCCAGCTGTGATTGAAGAAACCATATTTCAGACCTAAACAAACATCTTAAAATGTAACGTGTCTAGCTGGAATTGGTTTGACATGTCAATCGAAAAAGTAATGTCTTTTAGACAAAGAAACAAAACTAAAGCTATTAATTAGATGATAATATTGTCTGTCTGTCTGCATGTATCTATGCACGCTTCATGGCTTCAGTATCCTAGTTAATTCTGATATAGATAGAGCAGGTAGATTACACTCAATGACGTGGGCAGAACTAGTAAAAACCGATGATGACTCATCCGTTCGGTAGAAACGTCAGTTACATCACAACACGAGCCTCCAGTCAGCTGATGAACATGTACTGAATGTCATCTACAGAGGCCAGGGGATAAGGGAGGCGGGAATGAGAAAAGGTTGAGTGAGAAAAGGTGGAACGAAAGAAGGTGGAGGGAGGGTGAGAGAGGGTGGGTGAGTGGAGGAGTGAGTGAGTGAGTGAGTGAGTTTAGTTTTATGCCGCACTCAGCAATATCCCAGCTATATGGTGGCGGTCTGTAAATAATCGAGTCTGGACCAGACAATCCAGTGATCAACAGCATGAGCATCGATCTGCGCAATTGGGAACCGATGACATGTGTCAACCAAGTCTGCGAGCCTGACCACCCGATCCCGTTAGTCGCCTCTTACGACAAGCATAGTCGCCTTTTATGGCAAGCACATGGGTTGCTGAAGACCTATTCTACCCCGGATCTTCACGGGTCGAGTGAAGGAGGAGGGAAAGGAGAAATGGGGTGTGGACCAGGAAGATCTGAAGTGATGCATGATTTCTGACATTTCCAACATGAATGAAACCCTCTGGCCAGGGTATGGTACTGACACACTGAGAAACAGGATGCGACTGATGAGTTGAGGGTGGCGACAGGGTTTGTCAGGAGAGAAAAGAAGGGAGGGGTGACCCACAGTTCACTTGTGTAATTATTACACCATGTTTGACCAACTTGAATCTCTGCAAATATCGGACAAGACTGGCATAACGTAACCGTGACAATAACCATGGCAATACCACTTCAGGAGGCTACATGCCATGACAGTTTTCCAAAGGAACAGAGAAACTGAGAAGTGTTTTTCAAATGTGGCATGCATTTTTAATAAAATGTCTGGGTTGACGACCAGATAATGTTTTGGTGAGTCAGCCATATTGCCAGATCAGGGGACAGTGGCTGATGTGGGAGTGTAGAACTGACACTTTGATGGACCATGTTGAGATGTTGTTCTGAACGCCTCTGCACATCATCACAAGGGTCAGGGAGTAAATAAAGATGTAACATCACTTTGACCAGTAGTCACAAGGAAGGTCAACCATGTGAAGATCTGGGTTAGAACTGATCTTCAGTAACCCATGCTTGTCTACCTGTGAAGATCCGGGTTAGAACTGATCTTCAGTAACCCATGCTTGTCTACCTGTGAAGATCTGGGTTAGAATTGATCTTCAGTAACCCATGCTTGTCGTAAGAGGCGACTAACGGATCGGGTGGTCAGGTTTGCTGACTTGGTTGACACATGTCATCTGTATCCCAATTGCGTAGATCAATGCTCATGCTATTGATCACTGGATTGTCTGGTCCAGACTTGATAAATTACAGACAGCTGCCATATATCTGGAATATTGCTGAGTGCGGCACAAAACTAAACTCACTCACTCATTCTCCCACAAGTAGGTCAGCTTGATGTGGTGCCATCGGTACATCTTCGGAGTAAACCACAAGCCAGGGAGGTCAACAGAGCCAGATTTAAAAAACGGGATTTAGGGATTCATACATATACCAAGTAGCAGTGTATGAAATAAGGCCCGTCCGACCGCCCGAGGCAGGCTAGATTTCTGACGGACAGTCTAGAATTACAGCTAGCCAGCCCGATGGTCTGGTTGGGTTTTTGGCTTATTTCATACACTGCAAGTAGCTTCTGATCACTGTGGGAATGTTAAACACGATGAGCTATATCAATCTCGTCCAGTTTACCATTTGCGTCTTTACTGTTAAAAATGTTTGATTTGAGCCAAAACTCTGACAAATCCTCACTAATTACATACCTGTCAACTCTCACGCATTTGGCGCAAGTCTCACGCTTTATTGACAAATGTCACGCTCTCACGCCTCCAAATAATAATCTCACGCATATCTGGTAGCCAAAAATAATTTCAAAATTAATACGCATTTTCACTCGTTTTTGCGTAAAGTTGAACATTGAAAGAACGCCTGAATGAACGAAGTACTAAAACGATGTTTATGCGAATGATTCGGCTTATTATTATTAATTAGCATGCATCTTTTAGTGTCAAAATAATGCCAACAGAAGGCTCCAAATGCTCCTGAAAATCACTAAACTTCATTTTCGGGGCCTTTCGACATGACCCGGCTGATTTTTTTCAGTCTCACTCCAAACCATCTTTAGGGGTTGACAGCTCTGCTAATAAGAGATCGATATTGTGAGTGAATTCTATGCAGTCATGGTATGATGGCACACAATCACATACAAGTGAGACATCGACAATCAGATCCATTTGGTCACCTCTTACAACCAACTTAGGTTACTGTGGACCTATTCTAACCCACTAAACTCCAATGGGGATAACATCTCTCAGTCTGATATAAATATATTTAGGTTAGGTAAGTAATTGCAAGATAAGGAGCTACATCTTTCGTGCATTTCTAATTTCTGTAATTATAATATAAATGTTGTATTATAAAACCAGGAAAATAAACACAAGCAGAGCTTGAATAGTGACATCATCATCATCATCATCATCATCATCATCAAAGGTATATATCTTTACAAAAAAACACTCACCTCTGTCATTTTCTGAAAATTGAGGGTTGGTCTGCAATCTTCACGTCGTCGTTTCTTGGCGTAACGTCTATCATGGAGAACACAGGGCTGCGAGCGACACCTTGGGATCTTGTGTCGGTACGGCGAGGACGGGTTTGAGCCGAGATGTGCGGACATGCATGGTGTAGATCCAGCTCCGAGTGATATCTGTTCCTCATAAGAAAGACTTCGGTTCTGGAGAATTTCAAATCTGTTATTCCGTAATGGGCTGTGTTCAAGCCACGGTGCTCCAAAGGAACTCTGGGAAAAATCACTAAGAGCAGATGCTGGCCTAGGTACGGGAGAACCAGGCGGAGTCTGAAAGTCTGATGTAGTGAAATGACCGCTGTCCATGCTCAAAGGTGACGACACAAACCGCGTAAAGTTTGTCACATTTCTACATGTGGGCTTGAACTCCGGAACACGGGACGTGATGTTCCTGTTTTGCTGATCTACATTATTGTTTGTCAACGGAATCACAGCTATTGGTCGCCAAAGTTTGGTTCCGTCTGGTTGCCATGGAGATGATGTCATGGAGTCAACCGGCACTGAGAGAGATCGGCAGTGTTTTTTCTTCGGTGGTGCGATGCCGGAGTTCGTATCACAGAGAATACATTTGTGTAGCGGGTTCTTGTGGCGACATGTTACCACAGACGAGTGCTTATCACAACTTTTGCCATGTCTGCTGCCAGAGTTGTCTCCCTTCCCCTTCACTCCTGTAGAGGGAGGTGGCATCTGAGAGGCGGAGACAGGCAATGCCCATACATTCTTACCTGTAAAAGTAAATTTTATAAATCAAAACCCACACAGCAAGTTCCTCTTCTAACAAAGACATTACCTTTTACACAGGACTGCTTCATAGCCAGATAAGTTTGCCTGTGATTCTAAATGATAAAATCCAAAGAAACTTAGCTCTGTGGTTGGGTGCACTTTCAGCTTCCCTTTCATTTTTCCCAGAGGACTTTGTTCATGCCACATATCAGTGAAACACTTTTCCAGCAATATCGTCTTTGCTTCTAAACATCAACAGGAAGTAGGTTTGAACTTAAAACATATCCTCTTTTAAAAACACCTCGAACACGTGATAGAAAATGACATCATCACACAGTCATTCAGCTCCGTTAGCTGCATCCCAGTTTCCATTAGCTCCATAGTCCCTGCCCGCTCCCCCAACAACACCATCCTCCCTAACCCCTTTCAACTCCTCAACACCAAATTCTCAAATTCCATGACAACTCCCCTTCTTCCAACCCTAAAATACCAGGGGTGGAAGTAACTTTAAAATTGCTAGTGTACTCCGGTACAGTGGCACATGTAAAATCACTTGCCCTGATCATTTTTCCACTATACCGTCCGTTTTCTTGTTGATTTTTTAAATAAACATTATTAACATTGGAAAGTCAACTGGACACAGGTACATCGTGATATACAAATTTGCTTGCCCAACAGCAAAAAACACTGGACTGGTAAAATACCCTTCTGCAACCCAAGCAACCCCCTTCTCAAACACCAACCCCACTTCTCCAACCTACAACTACTTCCCCCAACCCTGGACATACCTTTAACTGCAAGACTGGCTGGTGAGGTAGGTGAAAGGTTGGTGGCTTCCTCTCTTGATATCTGCAAACAAACATTACTATTAAAGGTGTATCACTACTGGGGATAGCCCCAACAGGTTACAATGACACTACTAACAATGACATCAGGTGCCACTACAGGTAACAATGACATTACTAGCACAGGTGCCACTACAGGTAACAATGACATTACTAGCACAGGTGCACAGGTGCCACCACAGGTGCCACTACAACAATGACATTACTAGCACAGGTGCCACTACAGGTAACAATGACATTACTAACACAGGTGCCACTACAGGTAACAATGACATTACTAGCACAGGTGCCACTACAGGTAACAATGACATTACTAACACAGGTGCCACTACAGGTAACAATGACATTACTAGCACAGGTGCCACTACAGGTAACAATGACATTACTAACACAGGTGCCACTACAGGTAACAATGACATTACTAGCACAGGTGCCACTACAGGTGCAATGACATTACTAACACAGGTGCCACTACAGGTAACAATGGCATTACTAGCACAGGTGCCACTACAGGTAACAATGACATTACTAACACAGGTGCCACTACAGGTAACAATGACATTACTAACACAGGTGCCACTACAGGTAACAATGACATTACTAACACAGGTGCCACTACAGGTAACAATGACATTACTAGCACAGGTGCCACTACAGGTAACAATGACATTACTAACACAGGTGCCACTACAGGTTACAATGACATTACTAACACAGGTGCCACTACAGGTAACAATGACATTACTAACACAGGTGCCACTACAGGTAACAATGACATTACTAACACAGGTGCCACTACAGGTAACAATGACATTACTAGCACAGGTGCCACTACAGGTAACAATGACATTACTAACACAGGTGCCACTACAGGTAACAATGACATTACTAACACAGGTGCCACTACAGGTAACAATGACATTACTAGCACAGGTGCCACTACAGGTAACAATGACACATTACTAGCACAGGTGCCACTACAGGTAACAATGACATTACTAACACAGGTGCCACTACAGGTAACAATGACATTACTAACACAGGTGCCACTACAGGTAACAATGACATTACTAACACAGGTGCCACTACAGGTAACAATGGCATTACTAGCACAGGTGCCACTACAGGTATAACAATGACATTACTAACACAGGTGCCACCACAGGTAACAATGACATTACTAACACAGGTGCCACTACAGGTAACAATGACATTACTAGCACAGGTGCCACTACAGGTAACAATGACATTACTAACACAGGTGCCACTACAGGTAACAATGACATTACTAACACAGGTGCCACTACAGGTAACAATGACATTACTAACACAGGTGCCACTACAGGTAACAATGACATTACTAACACAGGTGCCACTACAGGTAACAATGACATTACTAACACAGGTGCCACCTACAGGTAACAATGACATTACTAACACAGGTGCCACTACAGGTAACAATGACATTACTAACACAGGTGCCACTACAGGTAACAATGGCATTACTAACACAGGTGCCACTACAGGTAACAATGACATTACTAACACAGGTGCCACTACAGGTATAACAATGACATTACTAACACAGGTGCCACTACAGGTAACAATGACATTACTAACACAGGTGCCACCACAGGTAACAATGACATTACTAACACAGGTGCCACTACAGGTATAACAATGACATTACTAACACAGGTGCCACTACAGGTAACAATGACATTACTAACACAGGTGCCACCACAGGTAACAATGACATTACTAACACAGGTGCCACTACAGGTAACAATGACATTACTAACACAGGTGCCACTACAGGTAACAATGACATTACTAACACAGGTGCCACCACAGGTAACAATGACATTACTAACACAGGTGCCACTACAGGTAACAATGACATTACTAACACAGGTGCCACTGCCACTACAGGTAACAATGACATTACTAGCACAGGTGCCACTACAGGTAACAATGACATTAACACAACACATGACATTACTAACACAGGTGCCACCACAGGTAACAATGACATTACTAACACAGGTGCCACCACAGGTAACAATGACATTACTAACACAGGTGCCACCACAGGTAACAATGACATTACTAACACAGGTGCCACTACAGGTAACAATGACATTACTAACACAGGTGCCACTACAGGTAACAATGACATTACTAACACAGGTGTAACTACAGGTAACAATAACATTACTAACACAGGTATAACTAAAGATAGCGACAACATTACTAAGACAGGTGTACCACTACTCTGGAGTTACAACAGGTAAGAACGATATTACTGACACAGGTGTAACTACAGATAGCGACAACATTACTAAGACAGGTGTACCACTACTCTGCACTGCCACAACAGGTAAGAACGACATGACCATCAGCAGTTATTCACTGGGACTTTAGTTTCACATTCCACATTTTCTCTTGAGAGAAAAATAAATGCATCACATAAATCCATGTCAGCCTCACAAAAATATCACCTGACAAATGATTCACCACCTAAACATAACAAAACTACATGCTTCTCCCCAAGAAGTACAAGCTGAAGAAAGACAAGGCTGATATCAGCTGTTCTCATGTTCTGAGCATGGGCATCACATCATTTATAAATGTCCAAACATAAATTTTAATGGCTGTAATTTAGCATTTTCTTGCCCTAAAAACACTATCAAGGTTTAAAATAAAATGAAATTTCTCACATTTCCCCACAACAGCAATGTTGGAGGGGACTAATAATGACGGTGGTATACCAGGATGTCGGACATGTTAATGGTTATTTATTAGGAACGTATTCAACATATGTATTATTCATCATAATTTGTCAGTATAAAAATTACAATATTAATGTGGCATGTAAATAGTCAACTGCACATAAGACGAACCAAATAACACTATAATCTTATCATGGTTTATGACAAATGTAGCAATATTGAAGCCATGGTGGTCAGTAATTGGGTTTCGATCACAACATCCAGTGATTGACAATCCATCGACTGAGGAAATGATGACACATAACCAACCAACTGGTCGTCAAGCCTGACCACTGAGTCTCTTCTTATGACAAAGCAAAGTTCCCTGAGGACCCTAACTCATCTGGAATCACTACAGGAAGATTAACTGTAGGGCCAGACACAAAAGGCATACACCAATACTTTCAGCCAGATCACACATTTTATATAACTCATTCACGAACATATATTGACACACATTTGGTTGGTTGCTTGGTTGCTGTTTAATGCCGCACTCAGCAATATTCGTTATATGGCGGTGGTCTGTAAATAATCCAGTCTGGACCAGACAATCACCAGCACGACATCATGAGCATCAATCTACTGGCACCACATCAAGCTGACCTACTTGTGGGAGAGCGAGTGAGTGAGTTTAGTTTTATGCCACACTCTGCAATATTCCAGATATATGGCGGCAGTCTGTAATTTATGAAGTCTGGACCAGACAATCCAGTGATCAACAGCATGAGCATCAATCTACCCAATTGGGATACCATGACATGTGTCAACCGAGTCAGCGAGCCTGACCAACCGATCCCGTTAGTCACCTCTTACGACAAGCATGGGTTACTGAAGACGAATTCTAACCCGGATCTTCACAGGTCTGACTCACACTAAAATCACGGGGTACTGAAACTAGTTCTGCCATGGACTGTCAGCACATACCAATCCTATATACTATGACTACTCTCAACACGCTATCCTTACTTTACCTGACCATGTAGCTGTGCACTGTGACCCACAACTACACTCAATATCCACATATAATTACAAACTTCGTATTGCTTCAGTGTTTTTATCTAACTACAGATCTGTTTTCACAACTTATACCAGCATATATGTAGGACTCAGATCTGTGGCGGGTCTCTAATCTATGGCGGGTTTCCTAATCCATGGCCGGTTGGATTGTTCAATTGTTACATGACATCATCGCATAATGACGTCATTGCGCGATGACGTCATAATCGCTAACCGTTCCCGATGTTATTCGACACTAGCCGTTCGTGGCGATAGTAATCTCAGAAAAATCTTCAAAGCTAAGAAAATGGAAACCATAGAAAATGATAGTTTTGTAATTGCGGAGCCACCTACAAAGAAGAAGAAACCCGTATCAAAAGATCCCAATGCAGAAACATTTTGGAACGACATGGAAAATATATGTGAGATTACAAAACTGAAAATGCTGAATCCGAAATGGGGAAGTGTAAAGATTTGCAAGATTAGCATGGCCTAAATTTTTAGAAGCTCTCTTAGTTTTATGATAGTCGTAAAACATTAGCAACATCGAAAGACGATCTTAGAGCTAACAGAGCTTCGAAAATCTAGGGGTATCAGTAAGTTAGAAACACATAAATAAATGAAATGCCATTAACCCTATTCTACCAAGGTGAAATTTTCTAATGATGATGTGTAGGAAATCGGCCACAGATTTGGGTAGGTACGGCAACTAGCCATGGATTTGAAAATCTGCCATGGATCCGAGTCCTACATATATTTTGTCTTGAAAACCAAATTTCAAAATTCTACTGTTTACAATCTGTATGGAACGTATTGCATGCATGCTACTATATACCGGACAGAATCCAACAAACTCAAGGCCTGTCCTCATACTATCAGAGACCAGGAAGTAGCCGGTGTTCCATCTGACGTGTACAACCATTTCATTGGGCAATCCTTACACTTCATCACCCACTTACAACACTTGGTGCTGCATGCATAATGAGCACAGTGCATGTAATGCACTTAGTTCCAGATATGACTCTACACACAACTCACATCACACAGTTTCATGCATGGCAGATGGCTGGCTCATTATACCTTATCAGCAAAAATATTCATGGTGCAGAAAAACTCTTAGAGATACAACAAGTTCAGAGGATTTGAAGAATTCAGCGATATGGCTACCAAAATAGCAGAAAACAGACAGATATGAAACATTGTTTCCAAACAAATTAAAGGGTACCCACATAGAAAG